CACACACACACACACACACACACACACACACAATGTTCGTATTTAGTCTCCTGATTTTAAATGCCCTAGTATGGTTTTGTCACCATTTCCATAGCCCCACCAAAAATATTTTCCACCAGCCGCCACTGATCCAACCTCTCAAAACATTTGCTACTGTCCCATAAAATCAGAGTACAGGAATGTACAGTATTCAAGCCCGTGTTGTCAAACGTGTTTTTCATTGTTTGTTCAGTACTAAAAGGTCGAAGTACCGCAATTAATTTTAATATTCATTTGACATGTTAACTATATCATAAAGCGCTTCATGGGAGTAATTGCGGGATGATTCAATGTTTCCCTTATGCAACATGAAAGTATCACGATATGTATCGGTCGAGTATCGGTATCGTTCAGTGGTATCGCTTATCGGTATCGTAAAAAAGTCAATGATATGCATCCCTAGGTGGGGGTGTACGGAAAGGGAAACATTTTACTCGGGCACGGTCAAATCATTTGTACCTTATATGAAGACGCCCTTAGTGAAATGAATTCTGACACACCTGCTATAAAGACATTGCAACAGGTCCAACTGGTCCCAGAGACATGATGGCTTTGTTTTCACAGTAACAGGTTTTCTTGATTAGTTTCTTTGTGATTTTGTCTTTGGCTTGGTTGTACATGGAAGACATTTTTGTTATCCATCAGTCACATACCTCAATGCTCCTTTTCTGTTTCTTTCGATCAAGGAAAACCTTAGGCAGACAATTTAATTTACAGTAGTGCACGTACCCACACTCTATCCTGGGAGACGTTCTAACAGGTGGCCACTAAGCAGCTCCTAAAGAGCAATTAGAGGTTAATTGCCTTTTTCAAGGACATCTCAACTGAAGGGAAACGCTGGTCTCAGCTTCTCCTTCTAGACTCTTTTGCGGCAACATCATCCTTTTTTTCTAGATTGGTCAAAATGTTTGACAAATACATTTAAGAGACTGTTTCTGGTGTTTTGTTTTGTTTTTCTCCTATGTGATCCACAATTTAGCAACTGTAGGTGTCAGTGGTCTATTTGATGTCTCTCTGGTTCCTGGCAGAGCCATGCTGCTCGCTGGCTCTGGGTCTGGCCAAGTGGGCACTTGATGATGTGAAAATAGAAATAATAAAGACTTTGCAGCCGCTGTGTTGGTCTTGGAGACTGGTTTTGAATAAACGGGGTTGTATTTTTATCTGCTAGACACACTGATACAATGTCAGTGGTAGCAAAGTTATGAGCTTGATAAAACAATATTGTTTTTGGTCCAAAATGTCTCTCCAACTGTGGAATTTATGTTTTTATAATCTTTGTTTTGGGGAATTAAGGTTCAAGACATAACGACCGCTGTTTTCCGGTGGCTGTTACTTCCTCTTTAGGATCATGCTGTCTGTGCTCACTCCTGGCATCTCGACTGGTGTCATGTCTGTTTGCACGTGAAGCTGCTGTGGTGATGTCATGGTTAAAGAAATGGGCGATCTGAAGATGAGTGAGTTCGTGTGCTCCATCTGGGTTTCATTCACCCAAGAAGAAACTGAATATGAAAGGTTGCCCCACTCCTGGCATCACTCATCCTCATGGGAACAGACTGATCTTAATTACTTTGGACTCTTCTTTATCTCTTTTTCACATGGACTGATTGTCCGTCTTCATCGTCACCTATGTATAATGAGAATAATACAAGTGGCCATGAAATAAGCATGAGCTAAAATGTGTGCCATAACTTTTGGCCCCCTCTGGGTGATACTTCCTGTAGTGCATAGTAAAGAATAATGAATAACACACAGTGCTGATTATGTCTTCCGTGTGGCATAATATTTGGAGTGCATGCTGTCCTCATTCTGTCAGTCATGGCATCATCCTCTGTGAAGTGAACAGTTATGTGACTGAAGATTATTTAGCTCTAACTTTAGCTCTGTCCAGGAGCCACTGGATTGAATTGATTGGGGTGAAAAGCTGCATTTATTTTTTTATTTTTTTATGTGAATCTACTGTAGATGGCTGCATCCTTTAAAAAAACAAAACAGGCTCGAGGTTCATTTTACATCAGTAGTTCTAACCAAGAGCTGAGTGTCATTCTTTAGATTTTTATGAGCCCCTGGTTTTCTTAAAAATCAAAACCTCATTTGTTTTCTCAACAATTTAAGGTTATCATTCCACAGTCCACCTCACTTTCAACCACAGCTGCACACTCTGGGAATGTAAAAGGGCTTTGTACCCCAGAAATGGTGCCAGTTGGCATCTCCTGCCACTTTTGCTAGTTTATTCAATAAGGGGATAGTGTTTGCAAAGTGCCTATCAATGGCAGAGTACTTAAAGAACCCACAGGGGTATAAGGATTTCCATTCCAAACTAGTGTGTGTGTGTGTGTGTGTGTGTGTGTGTGTGTGTGTGTGTGTGTGTGTGTGTGTGTGTGTGTGTGTGTGTGTGTGTGTGTGTGTTGTAAATGCGTGATGTGCTGTCTATCTCAGCACACAGGCTGTCTGTCTCTGCTGTGTAGGTTTGATGATGATGTACGCATGTGAGAGACACAGGGCTGTCTTTGTCTGTGCACTGCTTAAGCTGCTTTGTGCCTGAGTGCTCCACGTGCACAGGGACCTTTGTCATCCTTTGGAACAAGCAACACCCTTGTGTCTGCATCGCTGTTTGCTGATCATCGGAAAATACACAATAAAACGGTTTCAGGCGGCACCCTGCTCACGCCGGGCATCTGTAAATACTCTTCATATTTGAGAGAGGTCTGGAAAAGGCTCGGACCATGGACCCACGTCGATGCCTTTTCAAAATGCCAGAGCTAAGCTCTGCTGCAGCGATGAATGACCCCTCGACACACAGACACTGCCAGGCAGATGCTCTGTTGTCCAAACAGAGAACAATATGTGAATAGGGTACAGTGACCAGCAAAATTAAACTGCTGAATAATACAAGTGTCTGAATGTGACACAATGTGTCCATTCAATTAGTCTCATTACATGCTGTTAACAAATCCACAGTCACAGCATGTTTGTACGCTGACTCTATTAACCTTCCCATTTCAGTGTCAAGCGTGCTCTGGTTATTCTACTGAGAAGTTTTATCTTCCAAACATTTCCTGTTAACTGTCCCACTTACAAAACGTTTGCAGTCTTAATGGATGTTTATGTTAAATGTATTAATGTCAATGCTTTTTCCCTCAAAAGTGTGTATCTGATGTGATAATTCACATTGTTTTGTGACACAATAAACACTTTTTTACTTTTTTTACCATATTTTTTTATGCTTGTATTCTTTCTGGAAAATGTTTATTTTGGCAATATTTCCTTTTTAAATTAACCTTGTATTACTAATGTAGTTTATTTTTATTCACTTTTTTTATAGTTTAGTGGGGAAGTTAGTTGTTATTACTAACTTATTTAACTTTTAAAGATATATCTTTATAGTTTAATAGTTTGAATTTTGATGAAGCCTTTATGACTAAACGGAAATGGGGAAATCATTTTGTAACCTTTTTGTAGCGTGTTTCATACTTATTATGCATTATAAAATGATTATAAGTTACTACTTTCAGTGCTAATTTGGTGTTCTAGGGAGAAATCAAATCAGGTATCTTCACCTTATAAGTAATTATAAATCGTCCTATAATGTGTTATGATTATTGTTCTAAACATTATAAATGTTGTCCTAATCACTATACTTATACAGTGCTATAAGCAGATTATAAGGTTTATACCTAAGTGTATAATGCATTATAGACATGGGGCTCATAGGAATTGTCCCCCCTTTAAACTTTACATTAACAGTTTTGATCAAGTGGTTCTGTAACTGCTTTGTGAATGCACAGTAAATGTGGATTCACGTTGGTCCTGAGCACTGTTTCAATATGTACTTGTGTTGTGTTGCAGGTGCACAAGCAGCCAAGAAGTCTGGTATCCCAGCTCCTAGAGAAATCCCTTCTTCCATAACAAGAGACCGCATCTCTCTGAGGGACCAGCTCAGGAGCAATGCCACTAAAAAGATGGTTTCCAGTGCCAGCACTTCCAGCCTCTCCACTCTGGGAAAGCCCACACGTAGTTCAACCACAAAGTCCCGTGGAGATGCCGAGAGCCAGGAAAGGGGTCTTCTGGAGACCCAGGTGAAAGAGCTGCTGGCTGAGGCCAAGGCCAAAGAGTTAGAGATCAGCAATCTCAGGAAAGAGTTGCATCGCTGCAAAAGTAAAGCCTCCAGCGCTCCCTCTTCACCATCAACCAATTGTGTCTCGTGGGAAGAGCCTGATGCAAATGGAGAGCAGGGACAGATGTCAGAGGCCATCGTGCTGGTTGGGGAGCTGAGGGAGAAGAACGGGAAGTTTCAGAGAGAGCTGGCAGCGCTTAGGGAGGAGAACCAGACACTGAAAGAGAAGCTGCTTTTCTTGGAGGCCTCTCCTCTCTCTAGTACAAACACAAGCTCCCTGTCCAAGCCTCTGGTGAATGGCCTCCCCTCAGATTCCTTAAATCCACAACAGGACAGTCGCTCTTCTCCTGCCAGCCCTCTGAAGTCCTCCGTCTCCTCCGGTTCTGACATCACCAAGGACTCACCATCACCCGACTCCTCAGAGTTTGAGAAGATCCCATCACAGTCAGAGTCAGAGAGTAGCGGAGTCAGCGGAGGGCAGGATGTGCAGAGGTTGACAGAACAGATCCACAAGATGGAGGAGAGCCACCACAGCACAGCGGAGGAGCTGCAGGCCACTCTGCAGGAGCTGGCCGACCAGCAGCAAGTGGTGCAGGAGCTGACGGCTGAGAACGAGCGCCTGGCCGAGGAGAAGCGCCTCCTGCAGACCTCTCTCCAACAGCAGAGGGAGCGTGTGGAGGTGCTGGTCCAGAAGAACGAGGCGCTCGCTGGCCGCCTCCAGGAGCAGGTCGAAGCCCAGGCCCAGAGGGAGGAGGAGCTGGGCAGCCAGGGGCCCCGGCTGGCCGAGCTGGAGCAGAGGTACAGTGAGCTGGTGGAGAGCTCGAGCTTTGAACGAGAGAAGCTGGTGGACATCCAGCAGCAGCTTACAGGCAGCCTGCGGGCTCTGGAGGAGGAGCACCAGGAGGCCCAGGGCCAGGTGCGCCTCGTCAGAGAGGAGATGGACAAGCTGCAGGCCCAGCTGGACAGAGAGCGGGAGGCTGGAGCTCAGGCAGCACTGGCTGCAGAGGAGCAGTGGGCCACAGCAGACTGTCTCAGACTGGAGAACAGTAGGCTGAAAGCACAGGTGGACATTGAAAGGCAGAAGGTGGGTGAGCTGAAGGCCCTGCAGAGTGCCGGTGACAGCAGTGAGGTGCAGAACTTGCTGAAAACAGCCCACGCCGAGAGAGACAGGCTGGAGGTGGAGCTGACGGAGCTGAGGCAGGAGCTGCTAGAAGCCCAAGCTGACACTGAGCATGTGCGAGCCACAATGTGCAAGGTAGGAGGGGTACAAGCTTATTTTATTATTATTTATTTATAATATAAGATTACTGTACCTTGTTGTATATTTACATGTTTCCCACGCAGAATTTGATTTGTATTAAAATGCCATTGTTTTCGTGGCATTGCAAAATCTGAAAATAATTGGTAACATCTGTTAGAAAAAGAAAAACATGAAATGCCTGTTGCAATAGCATCAAGCAGATATTTATATTGAACAAATTCCAATAAAATGTGGCTTTCATTTAGCTCCAAGTGGCATTCAAAAGTCTTAAATTGAATTTGCCTTAACTTTGAAGAACAGAGCCTTAGTTTAAGGCAGTGGTTCTCAAACTTTTTCTGTCAGGCCCCCCCTTTGGAGAAAAAAAAAAGTCGGGCCCCCCCAACACAAATAGTCAGGCTCAGTGGCGGCGCCAGAGATTCTATTTTGGGGGTGCTGTGGGGTAGCTTGACGTTTCATAGAGGGTGCTCAAACATTTAGGGTTTCCCATTAATGTACTGGTCGCTACAGTGGAATGTTCTACTGCAACAATCCCCACACACACACACACAGTGTACCCGCGACTGTTACAATGAAGGCTCGATAATCAGCTCACGGCATATAGGTGTAAGCAGGGGTAAAGTGTTATTTTTATAGGTGGTGTGTGGACCTCACATAGGGGGGTCAGGGGGCAAGCTCCCCTGGGAAGATTTTTAAATATTGAAGTTAAAAGCATCAATCTGGTGCACTTTGAGAGCAACATGAAGAGATCTATGGATACATCTCTCAACACCCATTTGAAACAGAACTGTAAACAGATTTACTTTTTCTTTATGGATATTTTACAAATCACTCCCTTTTTAACGTTATTCTTTTTTTAATGTCATATAGTATTTCATACCTGTTTTTAATTTATTCTCTTATTTTTTTATAACTATAATGATCATATAAACGTGGGGCCTCGGAAATAATTGTTTACATTAATGGTGACCAAAACGTTTGAGACCCACTGAGATAACACTGAGAGTCCTTTAGCTCACTGAGTCTCTCATTCTGACAGGAGAGGACTCTCCTCCACTTTGTTGTTGAAAAAACTCCTTATATCCGTTAGCGTAGCTCGCTAGCACCAGAAGCTAACAACAACGATCTCCGGTACCGGTGCGCTCTCACTCGCGCACGCACACAAAATGGCTCGTTCCACACACACACACAGAGCCGAGCTTTAATGAAACACAGAGACGTAATAGTACTGTATGATATTATTTTCGAATCAATAATTTTTCAAAATATGATTATAATTTTTTTTTATATCCATTTTTCCTCCTGGTCTCTCGCGCCCCCCCTGTCATGCCTCTGCGCCCCCCTGGGGGGGCGCGCCCCCCACTTTGAGAACCACTGGTTTAAGGGATTGGTAATGAGTGAATGTGTTGGTATGTGCGTGTTTGAGCTGAGGAGAATCATAAAACACACTTCATGCAAGTGAGAGAGAAAATATAAATAAATACACCCACTCCACTGTTCCAACATTCTGGTCAAAATAGTGCCTTAATTCACTGTACTCGATGTAAAAATGTGCCGGAGACACATGTCCCTGACACATGGAGCAGCTGGGGATCTCCAAAAGACGATCAAAGATCATGCTGGGATTATTGAAAAGCATTTTTTCTTAATATGCCCATCCTTAATAAGTATTTATCTCCCAACATGAAACATTTTCTTTATTTAAATACGATATTTGGAGTCAAATCTTGTGAGCAAAGATTCCGATCAGTCTATTTAAAACTTGACATCTCTTCATTGGTTGGAGAATGTCACTGCCCATTACAAACTATTTACACTTGGCTGCTTCTATTGTTGTGTGTGTGTGTACACCGTGACTTTAATTATATGTGACTCACTGTTGAAACGTTTTGTTATGTCAGCTAGAGCTCTTTGTCTTGAGTTTGACTACATTGTCAGGGGTTCCCTAAAGAACAATCTCTTCATCCATATAATTCAAAAGAAGCAGAGAGAGAGGTTCACTTGTTTGGAACCAGAACATGATTTTGTTCATATTTTTTACATAAAATACAATCCATGTCAGGAATAGATTTAAAAGAGACCAACATGTTGTATCATTAGTCTAGCAATGGCAAATCATTTTAAAAAAATGTTACTTAAACCAGGCGACTATAACATATTTAATCATTATTGGCTCTGTCACCACCATTGAAAGTGAACTTGAACACACTTCTTTTCCAAAAGGGTTCAAACCTGACCATTAAACTGGCTTTACAGCTGTTATTGGGGCCTTTTCTTCACCATCACAGCACATTAATTCATGTCCCCTCAAATAGTTTTCGTATGATTCTCTGTCATCACTTTGGTTTTCCCCTCAAACACCACCAACACCACAAAGGCTGACGCTGTGTGGGTTTGAGGTCATGTTCGTGGTTGTTGAATCCAAATTGAGGCGTGTCCTCGTCATTTGACTGATGTCGTCATTGTTGGATTGTGATCGTGGTGCCAGTAAGGTGGTCCACTAGTGTGTGACCCTGTGAGTCACGCTCCGGTTCTGGGCCATATGGGTGAGGCCATTCCATAACTTCACATCCTAATCCATCAGAACCACATGGTGTCCTTCAGAACTACATCACTTACTTATTTTTAGTATACCCCGCTCAGAGATCTGCTCTACAGTGTCATTTTTCAGAATAACAGCAATCCACATGGTACACTGACTTCAGCTTCAGTGTAATTGGAAGTTCATGCAATAAACATGTTGAGGCAGTCACATCCAATAAAGACAGCACAGTAAAGTTTTAGTTCAATGAGTCACAGTCCCCACTCATGTCAGTATTTACTCTGTGGCCAAATATTCATTGTCAGACAAAGTTAAGCTAGCACAGTGCTTAAAGAGCCTATGACACGAACCCAACAACTGTTGTGCAATGAAATAGTGGGCTACTAGTAATCTCGAACCGTCAGTTTAAAAAAGAAAAAGCGATACCGTTCCGATAAATATCAATAATTTCGAACATCGCGGGAAAATTCCTTCGACTCATTTTGAGGTTTTGGGGGAAGCCGGAACGTGGAACGTCACTGTGCGGCGAGAGAGCCAAACACGGACAAAGTGTGTTGTCATGCGTAGAAATGGTGAATTACTGAGTTTAGGCACGTTAATAACGTTTTAATTAAGTTGACTACAGTATTTTCATATTTGTCAGTGCTTTCATGTCAATTCGGCGAACATAAACATAAATGATCGTGGTGAAGATGATGATTAAATTAGGATTAAAAATCGGTAGTGAGAGCTGCTGAATTTCCTCCCGTCGGATGTGATATAAAAACAAATCGATTATTTTTGTAAACTCAAGTGGATGAAACTACATTTATTAGTGCTTTCATGACAATTCGGCGAACATATGATACATTAAATGATCGTGAGGATGATGATTTAAAAATCTTTTGTTTGAGCCGGTCTGCATTTCCTGATGAGAAAACAAACCTTAGCTTTTTGTAGTTGCAGTCAGTGGTGTAGTGGAGGTTGGACGCGGGGGTACGCCGTACCCCCACTTATTTGAAGCATGATTCTTTTTTTAATAGTCTAATACATCTAAAATCATTGCCAGTGTTATCAGTTGCAAGTGTGTGTTTGTTGTAATAATGACGAAAACATAATAGGCAGATTTCACAGTAATTATAATAAAAACGTAGCTCAAGCATTTATGCAACTTGATTTGAAGCGTGTGTGTGTGAGGGGCAGAACTGTGTGTGTAGGGTGACCAGGTGTCCTGCACTGTGAGGGACTGCACACACAGCATTTTTATTATTTGTCCGCGTCCCACACATTGAGACTATGTCCCGCATTTGAGTGATAGTCGCGCAGAAAGGCCGGATCGGTTCGCTGACAGCCGGCACCGCCCTTTATTATTATATTGTCTAAACGGCATCATGTAAGTTGCGCTGACAGGCGACACAGAGTCCCAGTCCACCACTGGCTACATGACCGTATGATCGCCCATATTGACGCACCTAATTCCTAAACTTCTAACAGATACAAAATAAACCGATCCTTCAGCCTCATATGAGCTCTCAGACACGTTCAAAATTAAACTGTCATCGCTGTCTGAGCTTGCTGCTGTGTGCACCATCGTGCGTTTACATGCAGATGCTGGGATCCTGAACGGTGCAGCTGGAGCGCTGTGCCCGCATTGACGTCACCCATAATTTGGCGGGACTTGAAGAATCCCCGAGAAGATCCAGGAAATGGTCAACATTGAAGGGCAGATTAATGGTTATCAAAGTACAAATATCCAAAATCAGTTCAGTAACGGTTTTCAAGGGGACAATATTTACTCAAATTGATGGGTTTGGATGATGGGGGAAAATCGTGTCACAGGCTCTTTAACTTTGTGGAGTGTGTAGGAGAGAAACTCCCCCTAGTGTGAACTTTGGGATTTTAGCCTTGGCAGACCATTACAAAAAAAAGCCTATATAACTAGGGAATACTCCAAAAAGCATATAAGGACCTCTTTAAGTAAGCTGTGGAAGCTAGGGGGAAAACAATCTATTGCTTGACCACCAAGAGTTTTCTGTGTATTATGTGCAGCAGTAACATAATGATGATGCAATGTAATAATACCATAACATGTTTCAAGCCTTAAATCATCTCCCCCAAAGAAATTATCGGACAGATTCTATATATCTCATCTTTGAAATCCTTCAAGAACAACTGGAACACTTCCCCACATGATTTCCGGAAGATATCATAAATTATTTGCCCTTACTGAGCCTTGAGTGCTGTTGAGTGCTTTGATGTAATTAGTGCAGTGACAGCCAGCAATTACTCTCACATGAAACACTGCCACTTTGTTTTAACTATATCTGTACTAACTCATAATAATCTCCACACAGGTGGAGGCCAAATGCCAGCAGGTTCAGGAGCGGGCCGAGAGGAGGGAGCAGGATCTGGGCAGCCGGGTGACTTCCCTGGAGGAGGTCGGGGTCCACGCTGAGAACCAGGTGAAAGAGCTGAAGGAGACCATCTTTGAGCTGGAGGACCAGGTGGAGCAGCAGAGGGCCGTCAACTGCCACACCAAGCAAGCCGTCCTGGACATGGAGCGTATGTTACTCTCACTGGATGCTTTTTGTTCCATTTTGTCTGTCCTGTTTTGTACAAGGGGAATACGTAAAAGATTAGAAACATTTCTAAAACGACCATAAAGTTAAATCAATAACTTCATGAAGGTAGGATATATTAGAATCAAAATACTTATATTTATCCTGGGGGAAATAGATTTTTGTGACAGTTTTGACCTTTTAGAATAGAATAAAAATAAAATATAAATAATGTTTTTAAAGGAATACAAAATTATTTACGTACACATCAGAAGTTAAAGTAAGAATATGCAATACAATTATATCAATATATTTATATAAAAATAAGTGGATTCAGTTAAATGGTCGATGGAAATATTTATATTAAAATATGAAGTTAACAATAAAAGATTTGCACAGTTTACAACTAAATATGATATGTTTATCACAATATATACGGTAGTGTATTAGTATTTAAAATATATCAATTCTGAATTGCACAGTTTAAAAGGGCTTGGCTTTTGTATCAGAGGGCATTATTTTAGGTCATTTGTACTTTATATCTTACAGTGTGGTAACTGAGTGAGTATTATATGGCTAAATACACTGTGTTCCACAGGCTGTGTAAATCACCATAGATGATACAGGTCTATTATTAATGTTATTGCAGTGATGAGACACCAAACTAACTGATACTTGTATTAAAGCCTTAATGCTCTAGATTGGCTGCTGCATCCTCATCATACTGACAGAGCCCTTTAGAAATGGATGTTGTTTTAAATGACTGCAGTTCTGCCTAAAGTTCACAGTACGTAAGACATGTGGTTCTCAAAAAAACGTGTATCTATCATTGCAGATCTTGTCAAAAAGATGGAGGAGCAGAAAGTAGAAGCAGACCGCCATATGAAAGTCTTGAGTAGACAGATGAAGGTAAGAAAGCTTTATTATGTAGCTCCTTTCATAACATCTGTGGTGACATGATTTGTTTTTGAACATCTGAAATCAATGAGTGTTGCAGACTTAAGTCACATGATAGGTGTTTCAAATAGAATATAGAAGAAAGTTCCAAAAGTTAAAACAAGGAATGTCCTAACACAGTTTTGACTTTGGAAATCAGATGTATCTTTGACAGACTTCCATAACACATCTACCCTACGTCTTCTTCTCTCTCTCTCTGAAACTTCGACCAGGCTATACAAGTATAAATACTCAAGAAATAAAATGCTCTACTTCGGCCAGGTTGTCTGAGCTTAGAGATATCTATACCACGACACAGAAGCAGTGCATTTACGGGTACCATGTTGTAGTGAAGTTCTGAGTGATTGGAGCCAAAGATATAAACATACCGACACCAAAGATTGGTTTCAGTGATGCATTGAACGTTGGTCTGGAAGTGTTGATGCCTCTCTGGGTGGATTATCACTTTAAGGCCTAGTGCCAGGATTTTGCTGTGTTTTTGCCAAATGTATGACCTTGGAGTCATCTATCCGAGTGTTATTCCAGTAGCATCCAGGTGGGCTGTTCAGACAGGCAGCTATCTATTTTCTTTGGTATTGATCCATTAACAACATTTTTTGCTTTTTTTTGTTTTGATGAATTATGCATTTTGGAATGCACCAGATACCACTTTACTTGTTCCATTTTGTACAGTCCTTTCAGTTAGAGCCGCTGTTTTTCCCTCTCCCTTTGGATTGCTTTTCTGATTTGTTTTGTGTCTGAAGGAGATTTAAAAACATATCAAGCCATAGGAACTAGGAAAGAATAAATCAGATGTTTTGGGTTATTTTTTACTTCAACATATCTGTTCCAAAGACTGTGAAAGTGCTAACTTTGATTGACACAGTCATTTTCCATGATAGTCATATCGTTTTTGATGCCTTTATAAATGCCAGTTTTTTTTTGTATGTACATGATAAAGTAAATAGTTTTATCTGTTAGATTAAATGAACCTAAATTGAACTAAATCCCAAGTGCACAAACACTTCCTGTGTTTGTATGAAATGTCCTGAATGTTTCTATACTTGCCTGTGCTGTATAAATCCATAAGTTTGTGTGTTTAGGATGAAAAAGAAGAGTGGCGTCGGTTCCAGGCGGACCTCCAGACAGCCGTGGTGGTGGCCAACGACATCAAGGTGGAGGCTCAGCAGGAGCTGCGTGCTCTCCGGAGACAGCTGCAGGAGGAGCAGGATCGCAGCGCCAAGCTCTCCACAGACCTGGAGGCCCTGCAGGGTGTCAGGTACCAGCTCCCTCATAATGCATTTTGTTCAGTTCCTCCCCCTCCACCGTCCCCTAAACCCCTCTGTGATCCCCTTGTTTAGCATCGGGCTGCAGCTCCTTTCTCTCTCAACACAACGTGGGTATGAGATACCTGCCAGAGTTTTGCCAAATCCCCATCCACTGTTTAGAAATATCAAAATGTCATTCTCATGAATCTCTTGCTTAAAGTTTCAGTTGGTTACATTATTTAAAAAACTCTTGTCATGTATGTTGTCAATAGTGCATGAGACAGATAATATGTGAAAAATGATAATGTTCCTCTGCTTCCCCCCAGTGCTCCTAACGGCAATTGCAAGATTTCATTGCAGTGTCAACACCTGCTTGTACATTTTTACTAAACTGTCAAACCCGGCAACGTTGATCAAATATGATACAGTAATCTGTAACTGTATTGTGTATCCCTTGCCTTAAATGTCTAGCTGTGAAATTAATACGTTTTGACCCAGCCGACATTCTGGGAAAGAAAACGCAGTTACAGAATCCTTATTCATATTTGATCAGTACCTAGTTTGACAGTTTACTAGAGTTCACAAGCAGTGATTTACACTGTGTGTGAAGCTCCTCGGTTTTGATTGGCTGTTTCTCTTCGGTGCGGGAGAATCTTCCAAATGCTATTTAGAGCGCTGGTGGGAGGCAGAGGAACATGAGTTTTTTCACATATTATCTGTTTCATGTACTACTGTCGGCATACATTGACAGTTAATATGAAGAAACATATTTACCAACTGTAGCTTCACGCAAGTCTTGTAAGAGATGAAATCCTTGGAGTATTAGAGTTGAGATTCCTGGGATTTGGCAGACTCTGATGGTAAATTAGCAGTCTCTTGCAGTATTTCCCTCTGTGTATTCTCCTCCTTTAAGCTGCTGCCCTCTCTGTCTCCCTCTTCCACACTGAGCATTGCCCTATAGTATTCTCTCAATTCACACTCTACATCAAACATCAGTGTATTCATTGGATAAAACTATTATTATATGAGAAGGCAAACAGTGGCAAAAGCTGATATACAAAGCAACACAAAACAGAGGCCAGTGTAACTGTCAATATGTAACGCCAATGTATCAAGCTATTTAAGATTGTATGTAGTGGTATTGAACTGTGGCCATGCAGTGATGTGACATACTTTTAGAGAGTGTGTTAGTGTGTTGGTATTCTGTATATATAAGTGTTTTTGAGCGTGCTAATGCCATGGTGTTTTTGACAGTTTTGTCCCTTTTCATTATCATGCCAGGTCAAGTGGTCTAAGTCCACTTAGATTTGCTACTCTAAAGCGTTTTCCGTGTGACCAGTATAGTCCTTAATGCAAACCAATGGTCTCTAAATACTTTTTCAGTTGCACTATATCAAAAATCTCGTGATAGGAGCTTTAAGGTGTACTAAATAGTTGTATTTGGTTTAAAGCCAAATGCATGTGGTCCATGGGAATTTATTACACTACATTACTGGTTTTAGACCAATGTTAAATCAGCACACTTTCCCCCGAGATTAGCTGTTACGCTGCGTCCGCTCCCCACCTCCAGCAGCTCCCTGTGATGACCCTGTCAAAGATGTCCTTCTGACAAGCCTCCCTGTGTAACGTCCAGGTGAGTCCCCTGTCCTGCCAGCCCTCTGTCAGCCAGCCTGCTCTCCCTCTCTGTGTGCTGCTGCTGCTGCTGCTCACTGACTTCCTGTCTGTGTTTGGCTTCGTGTTGCTGCTTCAGTCTGACTGTGTGTCCCTCTGTTTGCTGGCTGATTCAGGACTATCCTACCTTCTTTTGGTTTGCTCTGCCTGGTTCTACTGTTTAAAAAGATGTATCTGGTGCCATCTGCTGTTACACGAATGAATAACCCTTCTACTTTTTTGGTGAATAGCAGGATGGTCTGCACGGCATGACTGGATAAAACTCATGCTCTGCATCACGATACATTTCCATAATATCTTCATCACTGGGTGATTCTTAAGTAACACTAGACATTATGAGTGACCTTATTAATCCAATGAGGTTTGCATGGAACAGTTTTAAAAATCGAGAAGTGACCAGAAGAGCTTTTCATAATAAAAATGTTAAGAAGACATGTAAGATCTCTTGTTTTGCTGCACATGCACATGTTTAATATTATCTTCATACACTATATCATCTTCCCTCTTCTTTTCTTTTCAGATTAGGCGCTGGAGCCACTTTTGATACCAAGACGGCAGTGGAAGGTCATTAGAGAAGTGCCCGCCACCCCGTGAAGACAGTGTTAATGTTGCACTTATTACCTTTCTGTGTCATTTAAAATGTATTGTGTAAATGCAGTACCCAAACAGTCTCCTGACAGATTCTGGCTTCCATTTATCTACATGTCCTTTGGAACCTTTTAAATAATGATGTACTTTTCTTTCTGAATGTATTCTTTGTTCGTCAATTTATTGACCTGTGTTAAAGAAATGCCATATGTTCGAAAGACTCTCCTCTCATACTGTGTGAAGCTGATTTGTGCCTTGAGATTGTAAACAAGAGGGTAATACATTAGGAAAAAGACTCGATAAATATTAAGTGAGCTGACAGTCGGACTTGTTCTATCAGAAAGTACATATTTGAAGGCAATAGCAATACAGCGAAATTGAGTCTGGTTGATATTGTTTAGATTTAGAAAAACGAGGTGGCATGTTATTGTGCTGGTACTCACATTTGCTTTTCTTACTTTTTTTTGTATTATAGTCAAATTGTTTTCACTTTGACTTCTGTCTGTTTACTGAAAAACATTTATGATCTGTTGAAGATCTCAGTTTGGCCCTGTAATGAAACAGAATGCAATGTCATATAAAACCATTAGATGGCACCATTGAACACACAATAACTGTACATAGGTGACATCAATGTTGACTTATTGGTATCATCTGCTCTGTTACTCTTTGTATGTGTATTTCTGATTATTACTATGCTCCTTCTAAGCGCACAGAGTATTAATTATTTCTGCCAGATAAAATAACCAGGATGAGTTTGATATCAACCACTGCCAACATTAGATTTTAGGACTGCCACAAACACAAACAGCTGTACCTCAGTCAATTGTTTACTCTACTCAGACATACCAAAAGGTTGGTGTTCCTTTTCAACACAAAGACTAAGAAAACTGTGTATAGGCTCCTAAAAGGATTAAGTTTCCCTTTCAGCACCACTGTCAGATGATGAGTTGATCTCATTTTCTAGCTTTTGACTTTTAGCAACATTAAGTGACTTAAACTCGTTGATCAATCTTGAATCCCTGTGTTAAAGCCATCTAGAGATTTTTCAACATCCTTATTAATGTATCATATCAGAATTGTTATGATTTCAAACTTTGAGTCACGGATCACACAGTGGATTTATTTCATATTTGAGCCAAAACCTTACACCATATTCTGTGTTGCTGTAGTATAATTGCATGCTGCAGGATCTCAGGTTAAAAAGTCTGGTTTCTTTCAGATATATTCAATTTGTGCATTTTTATTAAAAGCCATATTGCTCTACCAGATAAGGTACTGGTGCTGAAGATGTCAACTTTTAAATTTGCTCAAAAATACCATCTAGAAAAAAATTAGATGTTAACTGTGTAATTCTCTGTGTGTAGTAAAGCCATGTTGTGAACAATACAGTGAATGTGCTGTTAATTTATTCTTTACAAAAGAACTTAAACAATTATTATGTCTGTGAAAGAACACATGTGATGTGTTACTGTTGTTCATTAGGCAACTGAATAAATGAAATGACACCAGTTCCATCTGTGGTTGTGTATCTCTTTCAGTCTTTGGAGGTAAGTTTAATGCAATGTTGAAATTCCTCACTTCATCACTGATAAAGACAAATCCTTCTCTCTGTAGCCTGGAGTCCAATGTTCACCAGGGCGATTGGTACGAGGTGTCCCAATGATTACACTGCTCAAAATGTGTGTTTTAAATTGAAATCCGTAGCTCCTTATCAATGGTAGACACTATGATCACATCATCCTGCCAATACCCTGAGCAAACGTTTAGGAACATTCCCTTTGTCTTATAAGCATGTAAAGGGTTGTTTTCTTCCCCAGGTGTGTGTATGGTATATTTTCCTACACTGCAACCCTTTTCACTGTGTCTGTTAGGTCCCAAGGTGACGAGGTGAGGCTGTCCGACTCTGATATCCAGCGGCAGTGGTGCAACATCTCAATGATCCCGACCACACCCAGCGACGCCAGTGGGGAGGCCGACTCAGTCCCCGGAGCGACTCTCATTAAGTCCTTTGATACTGTTGGACCGAGTGAGCAGCGAGCACCCCAACACACACAAATGGAATCCCAACACAGCAGTGTAACTTCAGAGGAGAACAGCTGGTCAGATCTCCACTGTGGACTCATGTTATTTTTCTGCAGCAAAGTCATGCAGTGAAAGACAGTGTGTCCTGACCTCTATAAACAAAAGGGGAACATTATAGGTATCATAATGGTAGATTTTATTCCAGATGTTTTTTGCATTAGGCTGTATGTCATAGATGTAAGGCTGGGTACTTAATCTAAAAGTACCTTATGTGCCTTGTAAAAATACCACACTGTAAAATACCACTGTTAAAATGTTACTCAAATAGAAATATATACAGCTTCCTCTGGTACCATGACAGTCTCCTCGACCACCTTATCCTTTAATTGTAAGTAATTGTACCATACTGTACAAATACTAAGACTTCAACTTAACTGCCGAATATTTAAATTATTGACCTCATTGGTTGTTTTGTTTTCACAAATACTGGGAATGTTGAAGAATACATTTACAATTACCTAGATCCCAAAGTTTGCTGACAGCAAAAAGCCCAACCCTTAACATTACAAGTTATACTATGACATTTTTAAAAGGAAATTCACAATATTTTTCGAATATGAAGCTGGAACCATGAGATGTTTTTACACCAAAAAATTACTGACCAGCAAAAAAAGTTGCTAATAGCTGAAACAAATCAGTACATTTACTAATTGAATGACTGTCTTGTACATACTTTTAAGCTGACAATATACATATTAATTGACTCGTTTTTTTTCAATCTTTTTATTTACCCTTTGAATGTTTTGAAACAAATGCAATAAGAAGTTCAATATTTCCCTTTGCCATGTGGTTGAGTAAAAATGCAAAAAATGTCAAAGAAATCATTAAAAATATATACTGAAGTAAAGTTCAGCATTTGTTTAAAGTTCAGTTACATTTCGCTATGGCACATTTCAGTTTATTTTGTATACAATCCTTAATTTGTATGTGCTCTTCAGATGGGCCCAGCCTCACAGTTCAGATGCACTCCAGCCCCAGAAGCCTGCTGAGTGGGATCCCTGTACGCTCTGCACCTGCTGCTGCCGTCTCCCCTATCCAGGTACACACAACATACTTTCCTTAAAATGTCAAATAAATGAAACACTTCTTCTCTGTTTCAGACTGATGAGATCTTTCTTCTGTTTCTGTTTTTTTAGAGACAGACGTATATAAAGCCGCTATCCAAGACATTGGAAAAGAGAATCAACCATGGAGAATTCTCTCTTCATCATGGTATGTACCACAGAGATGGTTTTAGCTGGAAGTCATGGCGTTTCATTTATATGTGTAATATACATGCCTCATTTAGCAGTCTACTCACTCACTGCCTTAGAGTCAATGGACAGCCAGCAGGAGTACTGCTGAGTTTAGGAATGAGCAAGGCTAAAATGTCTACAGAGTTAAATAATAAGAGGAGAAAAGATGAACAGTAATTTGACTGCTGTTGTTCTTGTCTGTCGTTTCATGATTGTATTCTCAGAAAGAAAACACTGTAAATAAAAGAAATCCCAAAGGCTACTTTATTAAAACGATGATGTAAACTTGAAAATGATTCAGAAGGAGGAGATTCTGAAAATGAAATCTCAAATGCAAATTAGATTTTCAAATGGTTAAAACATTTTTAACAGTTACTTTGGTGATATCAATATAATCTAATGTTCTAATTTGATTTACCAAGTCTTTAAAAATGAAATATCAATCAGCTACCCAATAACATTTAGACACTTACACATGTAAAATTATTATGCTTTTTGGGAGTTTCATTTTTTTGTTAGCATTTTAATAAAGTCCCCTATATCAAATGTCTGCATCTCCAATCGACTGGTGTTCCAGCTCCTTTCTTAATAAGGTGACTGTAACTTGAGCACCAAAGCACTGAATATAAATGATTTTTGAATGGACTGCCAAGTGCTTCCGTTAGAAAAACATGTCCGGGCAGATGTTGGTGCCTGTCATTACAGAGGTGGCATCTTGTTTGCGCTTGTGGCATTGATAAGGGGCTGGTGCTGACAGACTTTTTTTTTTTTTTTTAAATACACCTCAAATTGTGCTTACAGTAGGTCTAAACATTTTCACCAGACATTATGATTGGAGTGACTTGAATTTGTCAGACTTCAACTACATCTTTTGGTGAAACCGCGTAAACACTGGTACTGCCATATTTAGGCGAAAAGGTTACCTCACTGATTCCATCGGCCTTTTCTGAAGCTAAAATAACTTTTCAAGCCTATCTTTGTGTGGAAGGGCTTGTTCAGGCACGACAGAGGCCCTTGGGCAGAGCATTTTGGGATATTTTGTGGACTAGTCTGAAAAAGAAAGCGACCCCAGTCAGGACACCTGGACTACAGAGTCATACTATTGTTAAATCATTGCTTTCCATGTTATATATATTATGATCCCTCCTCTTCAAGTTTTCTCCCCTGCACCCTTCACTCCCCCAGATAAGTTGTCGGGCCGCGGGGAGGACCTGAAACCTAACAGCCTGATGAGGAAGAGCCCTTCTCTGGAGTCTGTGATCAAAACCTCTGCCTCCTTCGGCAGCCGCACAGCCTCCTTCAGCTACAACCGAGGAAACAGCAAGCTGAGGTGTGCTAAATGGTTTTTATGGGATTTACTTTAGGGCATTTTGCTTCTTTAGCTACACGGTTTCATTCGAAGTGGGGAAACAACCTCTCTTACTTTGGAAATGAACACAATATAATGACTTCTCCACAGGATTGTAGAAATTCACAGGAGTTCCAAACTGAAAGGTGGGAAGTTAGTTCTTAATTTGTGCGGTCTTTAAAAGAGATCAAACACTGACAAACCAAACAAGTGCAACAAAACAGGCAGTGCAACAATGACTCACTTTACACAAAAACAGTTTCAGTTCTTCCTCTTTTTTTAAACAAGTTCCCCTCTGACATCCTTGACAACAGGTTATAGTGTTAATACACATTTGACTTAGCAGCCTTGTTTCCCTTTAAGGTAACCACATATTCTACTGCAATTGCATTTTAAAGTTGAACTGAGATACTTTGCAGTTGTCCAACTTGTATTGCCAAGGTGTTGACACAGAATGCTTACACATAGTAAATGATGTGTCCACTTGTCAGAAAGGAATGGGAGACCTTTCTGGCAAACAGGCTTTTGTCATTTTACTGTAAAACAATCCCTTAAGTGAGCACTCAGAAACCAATAGCAGCACTCCATTTATAGTTAGACCCATGGTACCAATGCAACAAGTTGCATTAGAGGGAGATGACGCAGTGTTTACATTTACATGCAGTCACAGAGACTCAGTAAAGTTGATTTAAGCAGTCAAATACATGGTCATCACTCTGGACAACACCCTCAGCTTCAACCTACATATGTTCGGATGACATCAAACACTGTACTGACAGATATCAGGAATCTGGAACCTGTTTGTCCAGCCTCTCCTCTTCTCCCTCTGCTACCATCATATTAATGAGCTGTCTCCTCCTCACCCATCTATATTTACATTGTTATTGTCCTTGGCAGAATACATTTTTAGGATTCTTTAATTAATAAAAAGTAATAAAACCACACCGTTCAGTGATATTTATATATTAAATAATATATATATATTTTAAATAATGTCAGCCTTTGAAAATGTTACTTTAGTAAAATTATGTAGTGACTCTTATTGCTATATTAAATTCTTAGATTATTATTAGGCTTTCATTTTTTAGTTTTAGTTGGATGAAGTTAACTCATTTTGAAACATTTTAAGATTGCAACTAATCAGCAGATCATTTTATGCATTATTGTATTAGGATTGTAAACTTTTCTGAAATAGAATCCATCCATCCACCCGTTCATCCATCCACCCGTTCATCCATCCATCTGTTCATCCATCCACCCGTTCATCCATCCGTTCATCCATCCATCTGTTCATCCGTTCATCCATCATCTGTTCATCCGTTCATCCATCCACCCGTTCATCCATCCACCCGTTCATCCACCCGTTCATCCATCCGTTCATTCATCCATCCATCCACCCTTTCATCCATCCATCCATCCGTTCATCCACCCATCCATCCATCCGTTCATCCACCCGTTCATCAATCCATCCGTTCATCCATCCATTCACCCGTTCGTTCATCCATCCGTTCATCCATCCACCCGTTCATCCATCCATCCACCCACCCTCTCACATATTGACATATTATGTGTTTCTGTAATGCAGATCATTGGGCAGGCCTTTTTAACAACATCAACAGCACATCTGTACATTACCGTGTTTGGTATGATTTCAGGGTTATGATATAGCTGCTCCATCTCTACTGATGCACTCTCCCCCCCCTGCAGTATTTATTTGGACAGGGTCTTGCTGCCTCTGGCCTTGCACTGCGCTGAACAGAGGACTAATAATGAACTTGACAGCAGAGCTGCCGTGACGTGTGAAATGTTTACCGTGCTCAGAGCAACGACCATGCCTCAGCACAAACCCCAGGGAGCAGACCCTCTGTGAAAAAATAACTGCAGATAAACATTTCACAGATTCATTGTACCTCTCTTAATTGTGTCTTATAACAGTGCAATCAATATACTGTAAATAAATATGTGAGCATGGAAACATGAGTTCAAAATGAAAAATAAGAAAGTGAGGAATTGATGCCAAAAAAGAAAAGCCTGTGCTAATGCTTGACATCCCTCACTTAAAGCCAAAGTGTACACTGTATGTTGTTGGCTTCCCTCCAAAGTCATCTTGAGCCAGCTCTGGGCTAACACAAATACACTGAACTGTAATGTTAATACAAGATCAAATAGTTCACTTGGCTGATGGTTTTCATAGAGGGAGCATTTATAGATTACATGTAAAGTGAATAAGAACAAAGAATGGTATGAATGGATAACTTTTGTTCTTTAATACAAGTACACATATTTTCATTTTTCTCCATCATGGAAAATTTGTTTGATCTCATCAAGGACCAGCCATATGACATTTTTGCAATGATTTTATTTCATCAAAAAATAAAATATATTTGGTTATATTGTTGAATGTTCTATAAAGCCTCCTCACAAACCATTAGGTCCACATGAGCCTTAAAACAACAACACAATGTTTGCTTGGCTCGCAATCAGTTGAGCAAAAATAATACATTCTGATTATTTACATAAATACTGTAACTCAAACCAACTATTTTACAGAAAATATTCCCATATTGCTACAAGCTGTGAGACGTTAGCCTTACATAATGGTTGTGTGGGACTTTTAATAAAAATAGGAAAAAATGCTTGATCATGTTTACATTTCTCAAACATCTCTGCCTTCTGGCATTCAATCTGCCTCACATAAAACAAATACACACAGTCTTTGCACTGAAGCAAAACCCACATGCTACATATCTCATAGTTCTACATATGGGCTTCAATGTTGACATGCTATTCATTCACATAGATTGGCCTACTTCCATCCACCAGGCACCTGACATACAGTATGTTCATAAGATCATCAATTGTTGGCTGAAAGTCCTGAACTGTTGCCATTTTCAGAATGGAGGCAAGATGTTTGTCTGAGAGGTTGGATCTGTGTGCGGACATTTTTAATTTTCATTACAGAGAACATATGCTCACACGAGTGAGTGCTCTGGCCCGTCGCTAAGCTACAACCGGCAAAGTAAAGTATAGTGACACAAAAACTGATATTCTGGCCCGTTTAAATTTGTTGCATTTTGAGTGTTTTATCTTCATCCCACTTTCTTCTTTATCACACTAGAAAATCCTGCTTTTACATAAGGTATTTAATGATTTAACATATATTAGTATAGCAGTCACATGGGAAATATTTCTGCATTTAGTACTTTTACTTTAAATACTTTAATGACATAACTGATTATATTTTCATACCTTTACCTAAGTAACATTTTCAAACAAGTATTTTACTTTTTACTTAAAGGATAAGAAAACTTCTTCTACAACTACAGTGTAAGGTTGTTTTCAGCTGTTTTCCCTTTTGTGTGTAAAGAGTACTCCTTACCCTTTTTAACTTTGCTTAACTAAAAGATTATATTTATAAAAATGGCAAAGAGTACATTATGCATGTGGAACGTCCCCATTGGTCCCTGAGCGCCAATATAAAAATATTCTTGGAACCAAACATTTGTTTTAACATCAGAGCCACTTTGCATCTTGATTGTGGGGAATCAGATACACATTCTGGTGATGCATTTTCTAAAGCTGATTAATTGTTTTCTCTATGTTTTCTGACTCTGATACAAGTGAAACAATGTTTAGCCAGGAATAAACGAATCACCAGAATATATTTTTTTCCTTGCCACTTAATGCTTCCATAATGTCACACATGGTCAAATTGTTTCCTACATTTGGCTGGAAATACGTTAGTTAATTGAACACATTCTTATGAAAAGAGTAACTACTTACAGTTGTTGTATAATCACAGTGTTTATTAAGCTAATCTGTGTAAAGATTGGAAGATAATAACAGTTTTATGGGGCAGCCAAACTATACACTTATCTTTCTCCGAATGACATACTGTAACCCCCCTTTCTCTCTCACGTTTCCCTGGTGACAGTGTGGAAAGAAAGGACCCCTTGGCTGCACTGGCGCGGGAGTATGGAGGATCTAAGAGAAACGCACTACTGAAGTGGTGCCAGAAGAAAACAGAAGGCTATCCGGTAGGGATCACAGGCCAGAGCCCTCCTTCAAATACAAGTTGGGCTCTTTTTACTTTCACACCCTGCTGTCCTTTGCATCTTCATTTCAGTCTCACACTTCTTAGGTTTTTATCTAAAAGTAAGATGACAGCTCGCATCTATCCCATTTATATTGCATTATTGGGTTGCCCTCAGGCAGCTTTTTCAGCCATCATTGAGGAGTTCGAGTGGCATATTACAGTGTTAGCAGACACATCATTCACCCAGCTGTCATCTCACTGCGGATCTAAAGCCACTGTGGCACAGAGGTAATGGAAACAGTGATGCAAAGCACCCAGTGTTACAGACACACTGGATTTATACATGCGTGTTTTTATATAGCCCTTCGTGTTTTTATGCATGTCCACTTGTTTATGCATTGTTATCGTGTTGTGTCCCCATCTGTGTTCCCTGTGTCCATGGAGCCAAGTGCCGACAATCACCTGGTTTAGCTGCTCCCCTAATACCCAGTTTAAGGAACCCATTAAGCCCAGTGGGATTACAGATTTGTAATCATCGTGTTTATGTGCCAGCAGCATGCCAGAGAGCTAATGCTAAACTCTAAACACAAGACTGGTCCCAACCTGAAAACTCTAGGTCAGGAAGAAAAGAAGGCGTTTGAGCCCACTCAGCTTTCTGATGGGAGATTAATTAAATGACTCTGCTCTGGGGTCAGTTTCAGTATGAAAAGGCACGGTTGATGAATAGTTCTAAAAATAGATGCAGCTTTACTGGTGATAAACGGTAAGAAAAATTGTATTAGTCAGCAGATCAATAGTTCCTGTTGCTCAAGCACGATGCGGCTCAGTGAACTTTAAGTCACCCTCCCTTCATCTGAGGTTGTCGGCTGTTTTTGATGGTCACACAGAGCACGTGTTGGTAAAAATACGGCAAATCCTCTGTGATGGAAATATCAGAGCAGATGAGATAAAACTGCTGCTGACGGACAGAGTGTCTGATGAGCTGCCTGATAAGATGCTGGAGCTGTTTACAGCCTGACATGAATCACGCCGTTCAGATTCACACCCCTGTGTTTGACATGGACCATTGGGAAGCAGGAGCTTAGGAACGCTGGCTTGTGATGGAAGGTCACTGGTTCAGTACACAAGTTGAGTGCTAAAGCAAAAGTAGTTTAGAGGAATATTTTAAGTAAATGTTTTACACCACGAGAGTTTGAATATTTTGATATCAATCAAAGGCTTTATTGTCCTATACAGAGTAGCTACAGTGTATATATGGCAATGAAATCATCTCAAACTCCCCCAACAATTAAATATAATATATATTAGACATAAAACAATAACATCAAATAAAAGAGTATGTTGCAAGACCAATGTGCAGATTAAGTCAACTACAAACATGTCGACAAAAAAGAAAAACAATAAGCTAAATGTTGCAGAGAATGTTGTAAGTGACCAAGTAGATGCAGGAGTCTATATACATATGTATACGGAATAAGATAAAATATTGTACAGTACAATTCAATTAAATACTGATTATTGTAGTTATAAACAAATTGTAAAATGCAAACAGATGAATGCTTTTGGTTATGAAGGCACTTGACAGAGCTCTAAAAACTGTAGTAAATATAGTTTTGCAGATGGCCCCACTTTACTGTACATAAATTCACCAAGACGTCTCTTCCTTGTTAATCCACTGACAGTTTTTTCTTCAAGAATTCAAGGTCATACTTGGTAAAAAATTGATATACAAATGATCATTATGTGGGTGAAGTATTCCTTTAAGAACTTCTATTCAAAGTGCTACAGAGTGCTAATGACTGAGCTTAGTTACTTTCCAGACCTTGCCTACGTGTAAATGTTCTGTTTTTGCAAATCTCATTTCAGTTCAGGACAATTGGGTACAGCGACATGAAACCCTTAGTGGAGCCTCATTCCCATTTAAGTATGGAACCTATGATCCCCTCTCACAAAGGGTTTAGCAAAACAGTGTGATTATTTGCAAGAATCAGGAATGCAGTAAGAAGATTTGACTGCTAGGAGAGTTTCTGTCGGTGCAATAAACACTCCCCGCCCAGAGTAGCTGCTTGAGCTGCGATACTTCGTGTTTTGATCTATATACAGAGTATTAGGTAGTAGTGAACCATTTGAACGTCTATTTTTAGAACAAGTGTGACTGCCACTTGTGTGTCAATGTGTCAATGTTATTGATTTTACAAGCAAACAACGTTTGTTTACAACTTCTTCCCAAGATTCACGCGCCCCCCCTGCAATAGCGCTCACCAACATGGATTAAACGTGTGTTTTGGGTATCGCGTTATCCGGCGGTAGGTCAACGGTGTTGAAATGCGGTGAATACACTGTCTGTTTCTCGATAACACTGTCTGTTCTTATCAGTTAAGATTCAGATTGTGAAATTACACCTCTTCCTGCTAACACGCGACATACCCACTAACACGCAAACTTAGACAACCATTACCGGAGACCCAAGGCAGCCGTACATTTGGTTTTACGTAGTACGAAACGCGATATGAAACGCCGGAAGTGCGGTCAAACGTATCGCTGCGAAGTAAACAATTCCAGTGCGCCGACAGAAGAATTATTCGTTGCCATCAGTATAGTAACGATCTTGATCCGACCTTAGACTAGCTATACCGTATATTTGCCGCTCAAATTTCAGATTAGAACTACCTCATCTCTCTCTAGTCGACGGACGACTAGCTCAGCTGTGAGTGAGACGTAATAGTGTTACGTAGCCACTCGCCTTTTTTGTGTGGTCCAATCTTATGTGTGCCTATCGATAAATTTAAATGGAGAGTTTGGATGGATTTGAATCAAATGAATCTATTAACAAAGCAAAATGACAGCCCCAGTGACGTAATGACTAGGCGCTTCGACGTACTATCGGCTGCCCCGACAGTCCTCCTCCCTAATAATAAGGGCATCAATAAACATTTTAATGACATGTGAAAACTAATCAATAGATGATAAATAAATCAAATCAAATCTATAGCATAAAAGACAGCTAGTGAGTAATACAAGGCGCTCGACGTACTATGCTGCCCGACAGTCCTCTAAAAAACAAGGGCACAAACAAGACATTGTGAAAACTTATATAAGATGAATAATAATCAAACAAATTATAGCTTAGTTAGTTAACAAAATTCGAGTTATATTATTTTCTGGAAACTGGCCGGTGAAAAGTTAACACGAGCAGGCCTTCTAAATTTGAAATTGCCTGTACAACCTGGCCGCTTTTTTATAGAGATGGCCCTTGAGACCATCCCGACCAGGAACTTTTAACTAAACATACACCGCCGCAATTTCTCGCGTATTAGGACTAGTTTATATTGTGGTTCTAAGGAATGTCAGAGTGACCTCCGGTTTAATTACGGTAGTATCAATCATCATATAGAAGAAACCCTATTTAACACAAAGCATCTCAGAAACCCCGGCTCATGGTCTATTGAAGGCAACAAAACCGGGCACAATTTGTAGTTTTTGCAAATTTTCAGTAGGTGCAAAAATTCCAGGAATTCCGTCAGAACTTAAATATAATCTACTAATTAAAGTAGTCGGAACTAAACTATTTATATCAACTTATAGTAGACGTATTTGTTACTTTTACATGTCCTCGACAGGAATATTATAACGATTGCCTTCGTATATATTACACTTTGGTTTACTCGCGGCCTTCGTGACCTCGGGACACCGTGAGGTACCGATTGAAACCAAACGTACCTTCTAAAGTAGCAACCGTGTGTGTTTGACTCTCACAAGTATCTATCTATCCTGATTTGGTCCGGGATTACGTCAAGGGAAAAACGGTTGATTTCACGGACATCAGAAACGTTTCATCCTATAGCTACCAGCTACATAGTTTTACGTCGGTGACTCTGAGCTCGCTTTCTGTTCTTATTCTCTGTTGCAGGAAACAGACCTCCGATAAACTCCATTAAACACACGAAATTGGTCTCGACAGAGACACGATACCAACACAAGATTTCGGTCTGACTTTTAGAATTTTATTTAGTATCAAAAAAATTCATTAGTGTGTCGACAAAACGCGCTGACGAAAGAGTTCTTAAAAACTCTCCTTGCCTTCCTAATCTTTATCCAGATATCAAACCGATTTTGGAGACCTAGCTCCAACACGAAAAAATTCTTCGCCAAAATAGTGACGGATGAAACTTACTAACACTTTTGTATCGGACTATTATTTCTGTATAAGTTTTATAAATTATTCTTCCACGGTTTAATTACCTTTTTTGAAGGAAATTGTCGAATCAACCTTGAGCCCAGATTCTATGTTGCAACTACTAATCTTCTTTCTTATTAACTTAATTTAAACAAGTTTCCAAAATACGACTTTTCGTAAGATCAAATAATAGATCACATTATAATCTTGAATGCAAGGCCCTGGACAACTATTTTGATATGACCAGTTTCCGTTCTACCAGTAATTAAAACAAAGATTTCTCATTTGTTAAAATAGCATATTTTTTCGTGTAGTTTAGTAATGCTGACTCACGATACCCTATCTCGAGCCTTCCGAAGTCATCTTCGGAC